GCATAAACCATTGCAGACAAATGTTTGTCTAACCTGTGCTCAATAACATCCAATAATGGAGATTGTGCACAATCTCCCTATATAATCAGTATTTAACCATCCTTACAGTAAGAAAGTTTTTTCTTACATCCAACCTAAATTTCCCTTGTGGCATTTAAGCTTCTTATTCTGCCCTCTTTATTAAAACTTATTGCCATCCTCTTTATAACAACTTTTTTTTTTTGCATTTGCAGACTGTTAACAAATCCCCCACCAGTCTTTTTTTTTTTTCCTTCAGACTAAATAATTCCAGTTTGTCCAACTTTTCCTCTTACATCATGTTTTTTAGACTTCTAATCAGTTTTGTTGATCTCCTCTGGTTTCTTTCCAGTTTGCCCACATCTTCCTTGAGGCCTCCCCAGTGCTGAATAGAGTGAAAGAATCACTTCTGATGAATTGGAGGTGATGCTCTTTATAACACATCCCAGTTGACTATTAGCTTTTTTTTATAACAATATTATACCATTGACCATATTGAGCTTGCAGTCCACTATAATATTAATCCTGTTCTTCAGAGTGGCTGCTACTCTACCGAGCTTGCTATATCATATCCACTGCTGTCCCCTCATCTACAAAGCCCATCGCTTTTTCATGAAGAGAATCGCCTGACTTGCTTTTGATAAATCCATATTAGCTGTTCTTGATCATCTTGTTATCTGTCAAGTCTGGGCTGTCCATCCAGTTAGTGGGTTAGTTTGCTGCCTCCAGGTTCCCACCTGACTGCCACTTCCCCCACTGCTCCAGCTGCCGCGGTAGCCAAGGGCTCTAGATTTCCCTCTTACTCCTTTGGCTTCTGCTTCCTGTCCCTGCTTCAGGGGATGGGATGGGGCAGAGCAGCATGGCACAGCCTGCAGCACTAGGGGAACACAGGGCAGCCACGCAGTGCACTGTAGCGGGGAAGAGTCCATGACAAGTGAGCTGAAGGTGGGTCAGGAACGCAAGGGTACATGCAGTGCAGCAGGGGGGAAGCACCTGTGTGCTCAGGGTGCCCAAGGGGCCTGTGGCTCATGCTGCTGTGGTCTGCATGGCATGCGGCGCCCCCTAGTGCAACATGCAGGATGTGCGGTCCTTGGCCGCTTAGAAGTTGGACAGTCCTGTGCTAGATGTTTAGAAATAGACTCTTGGTTGATATGTGCCAGTATTTTTCTGGGTCTTGGAGTTGTACAGACCAGTCTAATTCCTTGAGTCCTTATTATTCTCTTTTTTAAAGATAGACACTATACTTGCCTTTTTCTAGTCTACTGGGACATCATTTGACCCTTATAAGTTCTCAAAGATAATAGCCAATGGCTTAGCCAATTCATTGGGAACCCTAGGATGAATCCCATCCAGCCCTGCTGCTTTGAAAACATCCTGCTTGTCTAAGTAATTTCTAACTAGCTCTTTCTCTAACCTCCTCCTCTACCCTTGCTGCTCACTATGTTGTCCTCTGAGATTTGACTTTCTTGTGAAAACAAAGTAAAAAAAAAAAAAACTTGATAAAATCCTTTGGAATGCAACGTTGTGCTTTTTGTTCAGCTGTAAAAGATAAACGTCCATCTGGGCCCTGATCCAAATCCAGCTGAAGTTAGTTGGACTTTGGGGGAGGGGGGATCAGTGAAGTTAAGATCTGACCCACCAATGAGGAGAACTTGCTTTCAGTAAGAATGATATCTATGGTTTCTGCTGCAGACACTCGAGATGAAGAGTTGCCTATAACTCCTGACTTTTACAAGATGCATTATTGTGCAAGATGGGGCAAGGGCGATGGCCATTAACTTGCATAGCATTTTGTGTCCAATGTGTTGCAACTGCAACCAATTCAAAATAATTTTGAGCATGTAAGAGGGTGAATATGTGTACAGGTGGATATGGAGCAATGCTGTGGGTATCTATATCGTTCAAAGATTAAATGAAATATTTGTGCTGTAAATGTTGACATCTGTCCTCTGTTATCTTCTAACACAGCTGTTTCTTATATTCCTAGAATGGATGACTGCTTCTGTGCTTCTCGAAAACTGGATGCAGTAGCCATAGAAGCTAAGTTCAAGCAGGATTTGGGATTCAGAATGCTGAATTGTGGTCGAACAGATCTAGTTAAACAGGCCATATCTTTGCTGGGGCCAGATGGCATTAACAGCATGAGTGAACAGGTAAAAAGAAAAATGAATTAATTAACTTTAAAAGCCAGGAGTTTTGACTGCCTAGTGAAGAAAGCAAACTCCAGTACTGGAGCTCAGTAAACAACTGGTTCTTAATACTTTTCCCCTGATGATATTGAACTAAAGTTCCATCAGGTATACATTCAAATGAAGCTTTGTCCCTGGAGTACTAAGGATTTGTTTCTTTAATGTTGAGGTAAATATGGTAAATGAGTTTAAGTCGAATTGGTGTGGAAGAATCCATCAGAATTTCTTAGGAGAGCTTGCTGTTGATTTGAACATTGATTTCCTTAAATAAAAAAATGGATACGTCACCCACACTTTTGAACAGTCGTGGCTGTTAGCTTTGTGATGTGCATACCTTTCCACTAAAACCTATCTGGATACTCACAACTCATTTCATCATAACCCTGCCAAATATATTAATATTAATAATATTCATTTAATACTGAACTGGGTCCATCATGAAAATCTCCCTATTCCATTACCAGCCCTTGAGTCTTCTTGTCTTTTGGATGGTGATAAGTACATCCCTATAAAGCTTTATCCAGAAATAATGTTGTCTGCCTGACTAGCCATCAATAAAAACCTGTTGGATTATGAATCTCCCTGATTCTTGGAGGGAAATGTTGATACTTTAACAGCCATGGAGATTGTCATCCTTTTGAAATATAGTTCTATGGATTCACCCTAGACAGCACTTTCTAATGACACGTTAAAAAAAAGAAGTGCTTCATGTCCCTGCCCAGTACTTCCCTTTTGCTGACAATTTTGCTGCATGTTAATTTGACAGTGGTCAGCAAGAGATGGTTGCATTTGACTGGTGCTAAATAAGCATAATGGTAAAGCACTTTGGGATCCCTTGGGGATAAAAGGTGCTGTAGAAATATCAATTAGTTTTAAAACATTTCATTTTTAGTAGTTTTAGTTTGAAAGAGCATGATGAATTGCTTTGTAAAAAACCCTTTTAAGTGGAAGTCCTCCAAATACTAAGGACCAGGTCCTGTTCCACCTATTATGTATCTATATGGTACTTGGGTGCCCAAGTATGATCCTGTTCCACACTGCTCAAGTTCCTGAAAAAAGTGTGTGGGTCCTTCTCCTTCTCTCCATTTTCTGTGGCTTAGTCTTAATGCTAAGATGAAAGCATGATACAGAAGTAGTTACATTAACTCTGGCTGCATCTACACATGTTATTAATGCAATACAATAAACTCCAGCACAGTTCACACTGGAGTTTATTGCTCCTGGGCACAGCATTTGCATGTTTGCCCTGGACTGCAGCACATTGACCTAGGGCAGCACAGCCCTGGCTGGCAGGGGTCCAGGAGGGTCAGCCTGTCAGTCCAGAGCTGCTCCCACCTGGCTCAACATGCTGCAGAGAGGCTGGCTGGGGCACAAGAATGCTATAGTGCAGGGCTAGCTGGCAGCTAGCTCCTGCACTGTCACACCCCACCCTCATGCCTCAGCGAGGCCTGGTCATCATCTACATGTGCATTGTAGTGAAGTAAATAATCCCACCATGGGATAATACTTGTGTTGGCAGAGTTAATTAGTTTAGTCTGGCCTAGTAGGGCTGCACATGTAGATGGTGATGCTTCACTGCGGAACTAATTAATCATCTCTACAGTAAAGCGTCTCATATGGTGGCACCCTGTTTTTCTAGAACTTGAGCAAGGCAAAATAGGAGCTTGCTTAAGGCAGGGGTTTTCAACCTTTTTTTTAGTCCAAGTACCCCCAGTGGCTGGACAGTGAGCCTGGGGGATCGGGAGGGCGCGGGTAGTACACGGTTGGACATGGAGCAGGGAGGTGGGGACGGTACATGGGCTGGTGGGGACAGAGCGCTGCTGCCTCCCAGGAGCAGGGATGAGGTGGGGTGAGGGCAGCAGCGCCCCTCTGCAGGGCAGGGAAGCTCACCAGGCTGGTGTGCAGTGGCAGAGGGCGCTGCATGTGAGCTTCTCCACCCTGCAGAGGGGCGCCGCTGCTCTCACCCTGCCCTGGCCCTGCTCCTGGGAGGCAATGGTACTCCATCCCCGCCTGCCTCTGCATACCCCTTAGGACCAATCCAAATACCCCCAGGGGTATGCATACCCCCGGTTGACAACCCCTGGCCTAGGGTATGGACATATATAACAGTTATACCAGCATCATTTCATACCATATTATGTCTGCATGCTTCTATAGCAGTATAGGTGGAACAAAACCATTGCTACTTTAGCTCTGTTTCGTTCTGGGTTAAAGTTAGTGATTTAACTCATTTGTGTGGCTATAGGAGCATGTAAACCTAACAGATCATAACAAGTAGCCTGAGTAGCATCTTCCCCCTGCTCTTTGAAAGCAGTTGAAAGTTAGGTCTGTCCACAGGTTTAGGCACTTAAATATCTCAGTGCTGCAGTCTGGCATAAATATTACTACTAGTTTTATATACTTAATGCCATGATTAGCCTACTATAACACTTTAAAATAATTATCTTGAATAATTTTAGACTTAATTTTAAATTTCTACAGCAAAATTATTGTATTCCAGAGGCTCAAACTTGGGTAGTACTGATCATTCTAGACTGATCCATCATATCACTTAATTTTGTACTTAACTTTAAACACGTGCCCATTTGAGTGATAGTTAAGCTTCTGCTTAAGTGCTTTGATAAATCAGGGCAAAGTATCTTGCGCCTTATGGGACTGAGCCCAAAGTGTTTTGACTGCTGAAAGAGCAGCATTTCATGTTGCCAAGAAAAGAAAAGAAAATACTGATTTGCATATGTTGCTCTTATTTATTATTTGTTGAATGCTAATAATGGACTCATCCAAAATCCATTCTTCCCACACACAAAGCGAGAGGCTGCATATAGGGATACAGAGCAAGCCTCAACTGCAGAGCAAAACTCAGGGAAAGGCCTATGTAAAAGCACTTATGGCACGGCAGTGAGCATTGCAGAACAGGTCTTTGTATGTGCGTTACTTCTTTTCTCTTAACCTTTTAACTTTAAATTTGATTTGATCCCTTTATTTTAAGTATTTATTTAATGTATAAATCATCCCTGGTTACAAAAATTCAAGGCTTGCATGCACAGGTTTTATGAAATGCAGGATCTGATTCTGCAAAACTTATTGTAGTCCTGGTCATGGACCACTGATATCCAAGAGGACTTTTGCCATTGACTGCAGTAGAAGCAAGATCAAGTCTGATGTGCAAGCAGTCTGTATTCACCCAAGTACTCGCCTTGACTTTAATGGGGCTCCCTGAGCAAGAATCCCTCACTCAAGTAATAGGATCAGAACCCAAATTGTTGCATTTTTATAATAATTTGATTGCAATACATCTCTGTTTCCCAAAAGCAAATGAATGACTGTAACCTACAACGTGCTAGGTGCTCACTGATTTTGGTGGGATTTGAGGGAGCTGGGCTGGCATGGGTGCTAAAGTGCACAGTTGATAGCCCAGAGGTTGCAAGTTTGAAGCCTTAGCAGAAGCACGTATGGCCCTGTTAGATTCTAACAAATCCATGAATTATGCTAAATACCTTGTCACAACACGGACACGAGAAGGAGGGGTGGGATATGAGAACAGTCAGTGCCATGCAGAATCAAGCTCTAACTTTTGGTTTTATTTTGGCTGGAAAGGCACCTACCCCATAAATAGCAATCCAGCAGCTTCTGTCTGGGAGAAGTACCTTTCTCCCCCTGAATGAGAATATGAAAAATGTTTGATTCAGCTCCGCTCTTACTTGCTGGAGAGAACAATGCAATAGCTCAGCTTCTGCTCATTTTGAGCATCTCGTTTGTCTCAGAAATTAATTTCCTTCCACAGCGGCATTCAGGTTAAACAGCCAACATGCTATCATCTGACAGCAAATTTACCATGGGACCGTCAGATAGGCAATAAACATGTATCAGAGGAACCCTAGTCCTGCT